CAGGAGCAGTGACCGGTCCCCTCACGATGTGGACCTTTCTGGGCATCGCCTCCTTCATCTACGTGTACAAAAAGTGTGGAGACCTCATGACTTACGCTAATAAGGAGGTGCTGCTCTCCGTGTTGGTGTTTTTCTCCCTCGGCTTGCTGCTATCGTACAGGTACCACTTCAGGGGGCCCAAGCAGCAGCAGCAGCGGAAGACCCACCTGGGGATGCTCTCTGATGTTCTCTCAGCTTTACCGCTTGTTGGCTTCTTCTGGGCCAAACCCACCTCAGGATCTCAACAAGTGGAACAACCCAAATCCAGAAAAGTAAGTTTAATTCGGACCTGGCATGTGGGGTGCAGTGTTCTCCTGCTGTTCACTCTGGCTGCTGTCCTTCTGCCCTGGTGAGGGAAAGGAGCTTTTAGCATTACTTTTGGATGACAAGAGAAACAGTGAAACGTTTAAGTGGTAGATTAAGGGGGTCTGTAGAATCAAATCAAATGTGTTTGAAGAAATATTTGTAGTAAAGGGTTATTATAGCAGAAAAATATCTTCAATTGTCAGTCTCTTGTAGAGATGAAGGACTGGAACATCTCTTCTATGAGGAGAGGCTAAGAGAGTTGGGACTGTTGAGCCTGGAGAAGGCTCAAGGGGATCTCATCAATGTATAGAAATACCTGAAGGGAGGGTGCTAGGAGGACAGAGCCAGGCTGTTGTCAGCGATGTCCAGTGACAAGACCAGAGGCAACGGGCACAGACTGAAACACAGGAGGCTCCCTCTGAACATGAGGGAACAGTTTTTCACTGTGAGGGTGACTGAGCACAGGAACAGGTTGCCCAGGGAGGTTTCAGGGTCTCCATCCTTGGAGGTGTTCAAAATCCTACTGGATGTGGTCCTGGGCAGTCTGCTCTAACTGACCCTGCTTGAGCATGGGGGCTTTGGACCAGATGACATCCCAAAGTCCCTTCCAACCTCAGCTATTCTGTGATCAGCTTCCTAATATGTCTGTATAAAACATATTTGTCTAGACTACTGCAGACACAGTTATTTGAAAATTATTGCTAAACTGTTGCTTGTACAATAGCTACAGGACCTGAGCTCAGATAGTCAGTCTGTTCCAGTGAGCCCAGTGTGAGACTTGCTGTGAGATGTGGAGAGAGCTGTAGTTCATGGCTGGAGCTTAACTGGAGTCCTGCCATCTAAGACTACCAACTGGACGTGCATATTCAGTACATCTGTGGTTTGGCACTGTTTGGCTACTTTCCTGTGTACTTCTGGGCATTGTGAGCTGGGCACTGACCCCTTGCACAAAATAACTTGAAACTATTTTTGGCTGCAAATCAAAGATTATAGGTATTCTTTTTTTTTTTTTTTTTTTTTTTTTTCTTTCTTTCTGGTAAAGCCTGCCTTTACCCCAATTTCTTGTATTATCTGAATTCAGGTAGTTAGTTTTGCGCTCCCTTGCTGAGTGGTAGATATAAGCATGACACTATTCCACTAGAAATTCTGGTGTCAGTGTTGTTCTGGGCATTGTTTCACTGATGCAACCATATTTTTACTGCTGTCAGCCCTGGAGTGCTGAGGCATTTGTGAAAGAGTGAATTGGACTCCATTCCTTATTCTACCAGCTGGAGAAGTGACTTACAGGTTTGCACTGGAATTCCCCTTAGAACTTTTTTTCCCTTTGAAGTGTATGTGATTAGATGCTGTGCAAAGGTACTATAACATAGCCGGTCTTCAAGTACCAGTTTATATGTTAACGTATGTAATCTGATGTATGTCAATTCTTAACAGTTTTAAATGTAGGTGAATGGTAATTTTGCCTGTATTTTTGACTGTTTGATAAGTTTTCATTTCAGCACCACTTCTGCATAACATTTCCCAGGTAGTTGCTTCTGCTGACACTTTTCCATGCTGAGTATTACCATAAGCTGTTATTTTGGTAGGTAGGTTTGCTTACAGTAAAATGAAAGAGAAATAAATTTTCCAGTGAATCTGACAACATTTTCATTGCAACATGCTATGGCCTCCATATAGGAGTGACTCACTGGTATGAAGGCACTGGTGTGTTACTTTATAGAACAAGAATATGGGATAGCCTTGGCTTACTGCCTTTTATAGGAACTTGGCTTTCAGTCTCTCCAAGACTATGGTAGTGGTTTGTCTTTGATCAACATAGCAGTTTTAAGCAAGTGTCTTGATTTTATTTGAGGGGGTGTTGTGTTTAGTTTTCTCTGCTTGTTCTGTTTTTGTTGCATTGTAGAGTACAACTGATTTCAGTTTGGACAAAACTAAACTGGAAGCTGCTCTCCCAGCTACCGATGTGCTCTCAGTCCCCTTGGCCAAAGCAGACCTAGTCCACAGTCAACCCTCTGTCAAGGTTGTGGTACAGACACAATGGCACATGTAACTTTCTTGTCTTTCTTTTCTAAAGGGTAAAAGAGAAGTAAACCTCTCGGATGTATATCTGACAGAGACTGCTACAAATGCAACATTATTACCCCAATACGATCCAGAAATTATCATTGTGGGATCGGGCGTCCTTGGTTCTTCCTTGGCCACAGCACTCTCAAGGGATGGAAGAAAGGTGACTGTGATAGAGAGGGATCTGAAAGAACCTGACAGGATAGTTGGTGAATTGTTGCAACCTGGAGGTTTTAATGCACTTAAAGACTTGGGTCTTGAAGGTGAGTGCATTTCAGAATGTAAATATATCCATAATGCAACAGTTACTACACTCAATTACATTTTTAGAAAAAAGTGTGCCTACAGGGAAAATGAAGAAATACATTATCTATGCTTAATATTTGAATTAAAATTGCTTGAGTATTTCCAGAATGACATTTTGAAAATATTCATCTTCCAACATGTGTGTTTTGATTAAGGAAATTGGACTCTGTGTAAAGAAATACTTTTCATGCATAATTAAGCTTTCTTAAAAAGCCTTTTTTTAATTCATCTGTTGGTTTATATTTTTGCAGATACAGTAGAAGGTATTGATTCACAAATAGTAAATGGTTACATAATTCATGACATAGAGAGCAAGTCGGAGGTTGAAATTCCTTATCCAAGATCTGGAGATGGCCGTGTGGCGAGTGGAAGATCTTTTCATCATGGCCAGTTCATCATGGGTCTCCGAAGGGCAGCTATGGCAGAACCCAAGTGAGTCACGTTATGAACGGCACAGTTGGGGATCCAGAGATTCAGAACCATTGATCCCAGCATCTGTGAGATTCCTTAACCATTTCACTCTGTCCCAACACAGAAGGCTACAAAGAACAAGACCGAGAGAATGTAATGGTTATAGTTACTCGCTCTGATTTCAGTAGACATGTTCATGAGTTGCATGAACATCATATGTTAGCCTTTGGGACAAGTTACTGTTTAAACTATAGGAATATAGGCTTTAAATATTAGGCAAGGTACTGGCCCATCCCTGTGAGAGAACGGTTCAGGGGTAAAGAGTTGATTCTCTTCTACTGATTCTTGGGTTTGTCATTTTACGTAAAGAAGTGACTTCTTCTCAGTGAGCAATGCGTAGAACTTCTTTGGTCAAGAAACAAGTGGCAAATCTGGTATAATTTCTTAGAATCATAGAGTGGTTTGGGTTCAAAGGGACCTTAAAGATCATCTAGTCCAACCCTCCTGCAATGAGCAGGGATATTTACTTCTTCCACTGATGTTATCTGTGGTGCTAGAAATCAAGCTTCTTTTACATTTGCATGTTGTTCTGCTTTTTCCAATAACAAGAGGACAAGAAAAATAACTAGAAAGGAGTGCTAAATGGAGGTAGTTCTTTCCAGTTATTAATATCTGTTCTTCAGAATCTTGAAGACACCTTTTCTTCCTAATGAAATAAAAATTAGTGTTTGGTATTTCTTCTTTAACTGATTGCTTTCTTTTATACAAGAGATGAGAAAGAAACTTTTATTGAAACCAAATATTCTAGGTGCTGTTTGCTGCAGGGGTTTTGTTTGTTTGTTTGTTTTGTCTTTTTTTCCCCCCTAAATAATACTTACAAGGGAAACAATGCTTTATCATCTTTTTACCTTACATGTCTTTATTCTGAACTGGGAAGTTGCATTTTCCTATCATGCTTGTTATATCATATGAATTACTAAAAGTAGCACTAAAAAAATAGCAGCTCTGTAGTACAGTTGAAGTTAATGACAACCATGTTTACTAGCTATAAAAGCTAAGGCTTTGTTGTTGAGGTTCAAGTTCAGTGAAATTTGTGCTCCTATTTGTTCAACTTACGGGAAAACTCCAGTAGCTGTACATAGTCTTTGAAGCAGAAACTTACAAAAGCTAATGTTTGTGACTTTAATTCAATTCTTTCCCCTTTTTCCACACTAATGTTCATTTTGTTTATGTTTGCTTTCCATTTTAATTGTAGCATAGAAAACTGCATGTTAAATTAAGATGAGGGAGAGATCAAGAACTCTTAATAGTGCCATGAGGCTTCGTTTTTCATCTCAAAGCTTGCGAAAATATAGGGGATAATTATTACTGATTAATATATTCTCTTTATAAGTACTAGGCATTATGAATTTATTTCAGAGGAGTAAAATTAATTTTGCAGAGGAAGGAGGTCAGGCTTATTAATTAATCATTAATTATTTTTATAGTTGGTAAGAAGCAGAAAAAAGAAATGAGCACTTACTTAGATAAATGAAATGACAACTGTAAAATAAATTGTAAGCCGATAGCATCTGCAGAACTCTGATTCACCTGCTATTAACCTGACATGTGTCTGTACTCCCTTGCTGTTGAAGTTTCTGTTAGTGTGCTTACTACACATAACCATTCATATTTTGATACAGCTAACCTGCCTGTTGCCAGGCAAATTAAGGTAGTCAAAAACTGCTCAGAAATTTCTGTGCTGGCTGACATGAAGAAAAGACATTAATTCAATTGCTTATGTTCCCTCTGAGAGCCTAAAATATCAAGCTGTTGTATTCTCACACAGACCTTTAGCTCACTTCTCCAAGTTGTGGAATTCCATCGAGATATGAAAATATTTGTGAGGGAGAGAGAGTGTCTGTTTCGAGCTGCTAAGTCTGAACTGCGAGGATCAGATTTAACAGCTCAGACCCAACGAGGGATATAAGTTTACAGAGATTCAATTAGTGAACATCAAATAACTCTGGTTGGGAGGTAGAGGTAAGGGATGCTCAGTTCAAACTCCGAACATAAACATTAGCAGAACTTTAAAAGCATAAATAGCAAAAAAAAAAAAAAAAAAAAAGTAGTTATCCTGAATTCCTGGGGTGAAAAGCTGGATGTCTCCATCCTAAAAAGTTTAGATTATTTTGGACTACCCTGAGAATTAGGTACCTCACTTTGATCTATTGTACATGTTAAGTGTTGAAGTGCTACTTTGGATCTTGCTCCTGAATTCTGCTTAGAGTTAGGTCTCACCCATGCTGTCAGCCTGTTCCACCGTTTAGCAGGGATCACTCAATCAGCTGCCTGATGTCTGACCATTATTAGGTGTCAGACTCCTCTCTACATCTCTCGCATGGCCTTGGAGCACCTGAAATACAGCTGGGTTTTCTGCTAAGTGGTAGGGTGTTTAAGATAAGTGCTACAGTTTTAGAATAATCTCAGGTATCAGACCAAATGGCAGTGTTGAACTGAAATTAATGACAAGCACTTTTTATGTGTCTTCTGAAAGTGGCCAAGAACACGTCTTCGTAAAATTTAAACCAACTGTTTGTGCAGGCAGAGTCAAGATCAGTGAAAATCTGGTTTTCTTTCTGTGTCTAGTGCCTTGAAATGTTGGCATCATTAATCCTCTGCCATTTTGCTCTAACCCCTCCATTTTCTTTCAGTGCAAAATTCATTGAGGGGACTGTGTTACAATTGCTTGAGGAAGATGACTGTGTCGTGGGTGTTCAGTACAAGGACAAAGAAACTGGAGACACTAAGGTAAGACAGTTTTCTGCTATGTTCTTTGTTAAACTTGAGAAAATTGAGGGTTGGTTTATACATATATATACACAAAAATTTTAAAACCCCTCTATTTTGGAGCACTGGTACAGAAATAATGCAATTTTCAAGAAAGAGAAACCTTTACTAAAGGGAGATTACTTTCTAGTGGATACAATCCCAGCATATAGGAATTCTAACTTGTTGTGCAGCTTCTGCTTTCAGTGTCTCTGGGGAATTCAGATCATTATTTCTTTCAATATTATATGTCTGGAGTTTAAAATCTTTGGAGAGTTACTGGTGGAAAAAACCAATCTATTAAGATTTGTGCTTTGTGGATGTGTAATGGTCTACATTTCCACATATACTGCCACCATCGGCTGAGGTCTCTGAAAATAAGAAGATAGGCAGTGCCTATTCATAGACATAGCTCTGTCCAGTCATTTCTTGGATCACAGAAAGAGAGATCTGGCCTGTTTTAATTGTGTCACTGATTTGATTAATGTTCTTTGCCTCAACTAATACTAAACTGCTGGCTAAATGCTATGAAACTGTGTGAACTTAAAAAGTTTAGGAAAGAGCAGTCTAGGTAAAATGTCTGTGCTGATGTTCTGGATATATTGCCTGTTCTCTAGAAAAGCCAAATTTGTAATCTCCTTTGTTGACTTTAAAATTCATTTGCTGCCTGAAGTTATGTAGCGGCGTGTTAAGATGTGCTCTGATGGGTAAGATTGGAATCTCCTGCCTGTGCTCGGCTGCCCTCCGTATACAAAATTGAGAAAGTTCCTGAGTAGTTGGAAGATCCTGCCCTGAGCATTACTAACAAAATCTCTCATCTTTAGGTCATTTAGAAATGGCAATGTTGGTATAAAACCATATGTAAGAGAGCCTTTTAAAAGTCCTTGCCCAAGACGTAGGACAGCAAGCTGCTTTTTCAGACCCTCTTCAGGCAAATTGCATTTCAGCCCACTTGGTGGCAAAGTGCTGTAAGTAGGAAGCTGTAAGAGAGCTGAGTGGGAACAACATCCTTGACCTCTCTTTAGGTAGCTGGAGGAAGGGGGAGTTGCGAGTCCTGTTGCCTGGTCTGTCTCACATGTCATGTAAAATTAATAAAACCATATTAGGAGATCCGCTTCAGTAGAACAGACTATTGAATCACACATGGATACTGAAAGATAGGGAGTTTGGAGAAGAGGAGGTTTTTTGGGGGGTGGGGTGGTTTGTTTTGGTTTTTTTTCCTAAATCCAAGTTGCTTTATCATCCAGCAATGCAGAAGGTTTGGTTTGGTTTGGTTTGTTTGGGGATGGAGTGGACTCGTGCATATTTTGCTTTGAGATTTGTTTCTAAGCTTTACAGGCTTGTGGATGTTGTTGTAATTTTAAGTGTGACTTATTTGACCAGCAATAGGGCGACCAGTGTTTTAGCCTGAATCTTTCCTAAGAGCATGGATGTTGTTCTTAAGGCTTCCAGTTTTCTGACTGTATAATGGGGATAAACAAATTCTTGTTTTGCTCTGAATGCTGAAGTTCTCTGACTGGAAAGAGCTGTTTCATTTGCTGGCCTAGATCTCCTTTGATTTTTAGAAATCTAGTGTAAGAAATTTCCACTAAACATTTCTTCTCAGCTGTGTTTCTCTACCTGTGACTTTTTACAGCTGGGAAACTACTTGGGGGAAAAAAAAAAAAAAACCAAACAAACCAAAAACAAGCAAAAAAACCCTGTTTATGTTCCTTAGCCTGCTTTCATAAAGAAAGGAGGCTGATCTATGTGTATGATTATTTTTCTGTTCTCTCCGTCCCTGTTGTCCACCACATTACCTTTGAGATTTTTTTTCCCTTAAATGAGGTTCAAATTAGCCAGTACACTAAAAGTCAACTTATAGAATTCATCAAAACCAGACAACTAAATAGAGCTAAGGTCTTAGCGTGTTGACTGTGGAAAAACTGTAGCATGAATGTTCAGGTCATTAGAAGCCAGAGAACCCATACAGGCAGGTGACTTTTGCTCTGATTGTGGGAATAATTAGAGCTTGACATCATCTGAAACAGGAATCTATTGGAAAGAAGGCTTCGTCAGCTCTGCTCAGGAGCTCACTTCTCTACAAGCTCAGACACCATGAACATGTATTATTTTACTCAGCTCTAGTCTCACCTGATTTTGTCCAACTTCCCTTCCCACAGCAAAAGCTGTAAGGATTGTGTGACACAAGTGACTGAGTCCATCCCTGTGCAGGAGAGAACTGCTCAGAGGAACCCATTCACAGACTGACTCACCAGATCCTTCCATCCAACAGCAGAATATTTCCCAGGAGTACTAATGAAGCATGATGTGCCTTGTTACTTACATCCTGAAAGCTTAAAAGGAAAACTGTTTGTTTTTTTTTTTCTGCTTATAACAAATGTATGAGATTGTTGAAGACCAAGGACTAATGCTCAGTATGAATGTATAATTATTTCAAGTTAAATCACTGAGTATACTGACACTGAGAAAGCTATAGGTAGAAGGAAACATCTGTGTGCTTTCTAGTATAATAATGTCATATAACAGTAAAATGCTAAAAAATATACTTTATTAATTGGAATAATTTGCTTATGTTAGAGAACAATGTATGTGTTCAACATTAGGAATTTGTGCATGTGTTTAGGCTGAACTTAATCAATTTACTCAGATTTTATTTTGTATTTTGTCTATATATACTATTTGTTCTTATAGTTCCTGAGTATACTAGGAACTGCTTAGAGTTCACTGCTTGGTCTTTTAAAAGAAGATCTTGGTACACTTGCTGCATTTCAGTTTGTTACCCTTCAGTTTGGTTTTGTTTAGTTGTTTATTCTTTAATTTAAAATTTCTTTGTTTTCTCTTCTGAAAAGCATTATAGGCCGAAGGAAGCAATTACTCGACTTTCTTGTCTATTTTATATCCAAGTTCCCACACAGTCCCCATAACTATGTTGTCTGAACATGTCTAAAAAAGTTAGAATATTGTTAGATCAACATTTAGAGGAAATAGAGTTAAATATGAATATGAGGAAGGCAAAAAACACTTTATTTTTTAATCCCTGTATTATAAATATGGTCTGTGATCTTCTTATATGTTTATTGTTTTGTAGAACATCTAATGTACAATTGAAAATGAGAGTTTAGGAGTTGTTTCCCACTGTTCTGAAGCAAAATTGAAAATGCTGTATCTTTTTTCATTTTTTCTTTATCCTGCAGGAACTTCATGCAGCACTTACTGTTGTAGCTGATGGACTTTTCTCCAAGTTTAGAAAAAACTTGGTCTCCAACAAAGTTACTGTTTCATCCCATTTTGTTGGTTGCATTTTGAAGGTAACTTTTGTGTATAATACTAAGTAGGCCAATATGCTACTGCTCTTAATGTGGGTCTGAATTTCACAGAATATTTAGTTGTTCATTCTCTTTTCCAACAGAATCAATTAGAACGATGCTTTAGATATTGATGCAGCTGTTCTTTCAGTTTCTGTGTCCTTTTGAGGAGTTCTTTGAAATTTTGGTCTATGTTTTTAACTGTGAAATTAATGATGCATACTCCATTCCAGCTCTAGGATAGTTGAACTTGCTATGTCAGAGTTAACATATTTGGTACAGTTGCAGATCAGATTTTCAACTTTTAAAACACTTCTAAGTAACAGTTTTGGTTTTTTTGTTTTTGTTTTTTTTTTTAAGTGGATATTGTTGCTAAAAGTTAGATTTCTGGATTTAAGAGAGAAGTACAGTGTTAATCTTAAGCAAATAATTGAACAAGGGAGGGGTTAAAAAAATGGATTAGGATAAACTGAGCACTGGACTCACTAGACCAGGTCATAGAATATACATTTTTTTTTTTTAAGAAAAAAAAATTCAGCATCTCATATCAGGTAGTGCTATGTGCACTATTAGTGCTGTATCTTATATAGCGCTAATTTCTGGATTAGGCACCACTGCAAAGCTTGAAGCCCGTTTGTACAATTATTTCCCTGGATAGAGCTGCTTTGACTGGTTAGCATTAAGATATCGATGGCTAAGATGATGACACTCAATACTTACAGCACTTGTTCAGGGAGCAGAAATCTTGAGTTTTAGATCATCCTAGCAGCTGTGGGTCAAGCCACCTATGTTTTGTACTCCACAAGAATACTCAAACTGCTTCTGAGGGAAGGTGGGGTACCTTGTAACCAGGTACACACATACCTTCAGGACCTATACATTTTTAAGAGAGAAAGTGGGAATCTAGGTTCATAGCTGGGTGGTTGGAGAACTTGGGTAGAAAACTTGGCTGGGTCTTGCCCTCTGTGGCTGCTGCAATAACCATTGGATGAACAGCAAAAATAATGAAGGGAGAAGGAACCAAATCTACAGAACTGTCACTGGGCTGGGAACGCTGGCTTGGAGGAACTTCAGTACTCTTTGGGTCCCTAACCCCGTTACCACTGCCCGAGTGTCCCCTGTCTCTCTACTTTTGGAAACTTGTTTAAGACCTAGTTAGATAGGACCCTGTGATTCTTCCTCAGTTGGTACTTCCATGGAGTTGTATGCAGACTAGTGTGTGTCCCTCCCACCACTTTCTTTATAGAAACAAAATGATCTTACCGAAACCTACTACATTGATTACATTAGAGGTTTTCAATGGCATGTATATTAGTGAGGTGTATTCAAATGAAATGTATAACTTAACATATATTCTAGTAAATATTAAAATGTATTGCCAAAATACATTCTGAAGTTCAGAACTTCATTTTTGAAAACACTTCTCTTATTAATTTAAAGACAAGAATAACACAAACTTAATATTCCTTAATAATATGATAGGGCATTTTATTTCAAAGTATTTCAGAAAATGATTCTGTATATCTGAAGTTCAATATCCTTTCAATCTTTCTTCCCCTTCTTTTCTTTTTAAGGATGCACCACAGTTTAAAGCTGATTATGCTGAACTTGTTTTAGCTAAAACTAGTCCAGTGCTGATCTATCGGATTTCTTCAACTGAGACTCGGGTCCTTGTTGATATTCGAGGGGAAATGCCAAAAAATTTAAAACAATACATGATTGACAACATTCATCCACAGCTACCTGGTAAGTCTAGAAAGATTTCCATCCGTAACTGTCACAATTAAATGTGCCAAAAAAGGCACATTTCATTGACTCCATTGAACTGTGCGGGCTTTTTCCATGTGTGCAGTTACTGTTTCAGTAAGCATTCACCCTTCTTCAATTACACATCAAATAGCAGTTTGATCAGCTCCCATCTGTTAGGTCAGCAATTCAGAAGGATTATATCTCTAAGAAGAGGTTAAAATGGGTTGCATGCAAATTATTTTAGATTCTGTCTAAGTAGTGTAACTAAAATATTTGTTTATTGCAGATCATTTAAAGGAACCATTCCTAATAGCAGTTCAGAATGATCGTTTAAGGACTATGCCAGCCAGCTTCTTGCCTCCTTCAGCTGTTAACAAAAAAGGTGTGTATTGTGGGAAAAAAGGAGGAAAAAAAGCATTATAAACTTCTTCTGGGACTTAATGCTTTGTTGTCATAGACATGGGTTTGTTGTTCAAATCTGTCTCATAATTCTTCTGTGAAAAATAATATTTTGAAAATGTGCACCTTGGGCATAGTTTAACTGGAATGTTTATATGGGCACCAGACTTCAGATCAGTGCCTGCTTTTTTAAGTTTAAATCACTCAGCTGCTCAAGCTCATTTAGGTCAAAAAGACTCAAAGGTCTTTTTAAGGAAAACTTGATTAAAAAAGGAAAGAAATTACCTTGAAAAGTGTGTGTGTGTGTGTGTGTGTGTGTGTTCTTTGACACACGCACATGCATGCCTATAGGGAAAGCAAATATTTTGACCTTAATCATCTTAAAAGCCTTTTTAAGCCTGTTAATTTCAAGACAACCTTTTTTTTCCCGTTTTTTCACATTTTTTCTTTTTTTCCTGTTTTCCTTTTTTCCTTTTTCCTTTTTTCCTTTTTTCCTTTTTCCTTTTTTCCTTTTTTCCTTTTTTCCTTTTCTTCCTTTTTTCCTTTTTCCTTTTTTTCCTTTTTTTCCTTTTTACCCTTTTTTTCCATTTTTTCACTTTTTTTCCCTTTTTTCCTTTTTTTTCCTTTTTTTTCTTTTTAAATTTCTAGTTGTTATTCATCTTACTTTCTCATGGGAATGAATTCTTAGTAAGTTTGATTTTTTAAAAAAATAGAGGGTTTGAGTTCTAAGATTACATAATGGTCATGTAGTATCCCATTAATTTTTCTCTTCTGCCTAGGTGTTCTTCTTTTAGGAGATGCATATAATATAAGACACCCTTTAACTGGTGGAGGAATGAGTGTTGTTTTAAATGATGTTAAAATATGGAGAAGGTTGTTCCAGGATATTCCAGACCTTTATGAAGATTCTGATATTCTTAAGGTGAACCTTTATTTTGGACTTGAGACAGCTTTTGCTGCAATTTAATGACACTTAAGTTTTATGCAACTCAGGGACATGTAAGTTATTAGCGAGGCACGGCAGTTTTCAAATCTTTGGACAGGTAAATTATACTTCAGGCATTCACTAGCAAGCAGAGCTGTGATAAGCGAGTGCTATGGCTGTGTGGCAAAGGCAGATTGAAAACTGTGCTTACTGACCTCTCTCGGTTTGCTTAAGGAGACTGGAGTGCTATGTCTAGTCAGCAGCTTTGCTAGTACAATCTGATATTCCCATATTAGTCGTGTATTTGTAATGCAGATTGATTATAAGTGGGATGAGTTTGAACCGTTACACTGGTGTGAGTGGTTCTTACTCAAGACGCATCTCAATGCTGTGCTAGCCTCTTGACTGCTGCCTTAATCTCACAGTAGTAAGTTAGAAGACATCCTTCTTTCCCGGGAATTATCACAATCAGTGTTGATGCTGGGTTTATTTTTTCAGTGAGATTTAGACCCTAAATTCTGATCAGTAGATGAGATTTCTCATTTATTTGTTTACTGCGTCTAAGCAGGTTGGGCATATTGACTTGGCTAAATGACAGCTAGACTAATTATAGACTACAAGGAAATTATTCAAAAAGTGTATTTGAAAATTGAGAAGTGCTCAGAGGGGCCCTGAACATAAGGACAACCCAGGACTTACCTGACCAAATGCAGATACTTACATCTGAGCTACTTACCTCAGACTTTCAGTTATCTCCTACTTTTTCTCAATGAGCAGAGAGAACTAGATGAGTGTTATCCTTCAAGTTTCTGACCTAGCCCCAGCCACCTACTACAAGATGAGATGAAGCACACCCTGGAACTACCTCTTTTTTTTTTTAAATATATTTCGTGTAAGAGAAGCCTAGGTAACTGGTTTGACAAGTTTCCAAAGTTCCTTAATGACCTAGCTTGGAACTGATCTAGTCTATCACCAAATCCACCCTACATTTTCACATGAGTATGACTCTAACCACTTGTTTGGGAATCTTTTGAATGCTCTTCTGTATTTACTGACAGAAATACTTTTTTTTTTCCTTTTTCAGGCAAAAAGAACATTTTACTGGGCAAGAAAAAAATCTCATTCTTTTGTAGTGAATGTTCTTGCCCAGGCACTTTATGAACTCTTTTCTGGCACAGATGGTAAATATATTTTAAAGATAACTTCTGAGTAATTACAATTTGGTAAATAAATATGTCTGGGGAGGGGATGTGTATGTGCACGAGCATATATCCATGTGTTTGTGTATATATACATATATATATGTATGTATATATGTATATTGATATATATTAAAAATATATCAATCAAGGGATTTTAATTAGTTAGCTTGTGTTCTCTGCCTAGCTGGCTAGTTCTAGTGTCATGTAAACTGAGTTTTAGCAATGTGAAGGAAAGTCAGGAGTTAGTATTTTAAAAAGAAGACAAAAACCCTACCAACAACAAAAAAAACCCAGAAACCACTTATTGTTTAATACTAACTGACACAAGAATATATAGGTATTCTATAAGACTATCCTTTACTTAAATAAAACTAGCTCAAAATGCAGCTGAATTTAACAGAACAACAGGTACCAAAGTCCTGGACTTAATATCACTGTTGTATATGCTGCAAAAGTTTTCAGTATGTGTTGAATGAATTTGTTGAGTCATTTTAATTCATTTTGTAGATTCCTTGCATCAGCTAAAGAAAGCCTGTTTCCATTACTTCAGACTTGGTGGAGAATGTGTCTCGGGTCCCGTTGGATTGCTGTCTGTGTAAGTTCAGCATGCTAGTGATAGTTAATGTGAACTGGGTCGAGCATTGTGAGTTTCTGAGGATCTGCTTTACTCCCAATCAGTCAGCTCTGCACAGGGAGAATGGTCCACATGAGCCTATATATTTAGGATTATCCTAAAGGTTGGAGCTTTATTAGAAGCAGTGTCTTTAAACGCTGACTCCTTTTTTTTTTTTTTCTTTGTAAAAAATGCCACTAGAAGATGGAGAGAAGTTAATGTAGGTGGCATGGGAGTTTGAATGAGGTAGAGGGGTCCAGCCTAGCAGAGGAGCTGGTGGAGATGTTTCATGCTTGAGAATACGATGAGGTCTCCCATAAAAGAGCATAAGGAACTGGGAAATTGGTAACTATCAAGGTGTTTTGAATGACCCCTCAGAAACCAGTGAATGCACAATAAATCATACTACTTTGAACATGTGAAAATGTTTGCTTTTCTATTTTTTGCCTTTTTGGAATGAGAGGTTAAACTGATAGAGCCTGTTGAGAGTAATCCCCTGGGGGTTTGATAAAGGCAGACACAGACTACTGGAAATGAAGAGAAAGCAGCAGTGTATGCTGGCTGTACTGCAGAAAGGAATCCAGGGTGTGCAGCTCCAAGACAACCAAGTTTTTATTTTTCAATTGAGACGCCAGGATCAGAGCTGCCTAAATTGGAGGGCTGTGTGTAATCTTGAGTGGAGATCTCTATTTGTAAAACAAAAATTTGTCAGTGCTTACTGATTCTATTTATTTACATGCTTTATCTCTTTATTTTTAATACAGGTTATCTCCTAAACCAATGGTACTGATTGGCCACTTCTTTGCTGTGGCATTATACGCTGTTTATTTCTGCTTTAAGTCAGAGTCCTGGATCACCATGCCTCGAGCGTTTTTCAGTAGTGGAGCTATTCTTTACCGGAGCTGTTCTGTAATATTTCCACTTATTTACTCTGAAATGAAGTATTTAGTCTATTAAAATCCAGGGGAAAATGACTGGAGGAAGAAAACACAAAAATCACGAGGCCTTCAAAATCTTTGGACATGTGCTATTTAATATTGTGTTATGTTTTCTTCTCTTCAAAATGCAATTTCCTTGATAAGGATTTGACTTAATTTTGGTTTTGTGGTTATATACATGTATATTATATGTAAATACTCTTTTCTTTGCAATTAAAGTTCAAAAAATGAGTTAGCTGTTTACAAGGACCGTAATGAAGTGTTGACATGTGGTAGGTAATTGCCAGTTTTGTCAGAATTTCATTCCTTGCTTTATCCATTGCCGACTGCACCACTAATATTAATAAACTGAGAAGTGAAAACTGTAAACCATATGCTGCTATTCTCTTTCATGCTTTTTTTTCTGTTCAGTAGTTCCATAGGTTGTTTCTTTATTGCTGTGAAATATTGTAACATTCTTGATTTGGGTTATTTCGTTATTTCATTAGGATTGGCCTCTGTTCTTTTTCATTGCAGCTAAGATCTTAGTCTACTGACACTTAAAAGGACACTGTAAAGGATTTCAGATCTTGAAGTGTCACCGTATCTTTACGGCACTGTCACAAGTTCCATGTTGCTCCTCTGAAATCATTCTTTACAGAATTAATTTAAAAAGTAATAAGCAAAGCATAGTTATGTTGGCTACTACATTGCACTCAGGTTTTGAAACTTCCTATCTCACTTCCTTTTAAAAACTTTATTTTTTTTTGAGGGGTTACTTGGTGTGTGTGCAATTGAAGTGTAAGACTGCCACAAACTGAGGCACAGCAACAAACTACATCCACAGAAACAAATTCACTCCAGGCTATTTCCGGTCAACTGTAAAGTAATCTTTAATACTACTTCTTAAAATTCATGAGAAGTACCATGAAAGTGTCCTTTTAATACTTGGAGTATGGTTTTCTTCCCTGTAGAAATTATGGCATGCTAGGAAAGAGTTCATGTCCCTTACTGTTGGTCACTGTTCCTCTCAATGTTATCTTTATCATGCTTTCCTTTGTTCTTGTGTATTTTCATTTTTCCTTAGCTTTCTTCTGATTGCTGTGTGTATCGCTGTATAGCTGTCCTGTTTTGGCTTGCCTACACAATCACGCATCAGCGCAGCCAACAGCTTAGAGAACAGTAACATGTTTTTCTGTACCCGCAAAACTTTGACTGTATCTTTTGAAAATGACAGATTGCATAAGCTGTACATAAACATACATTTTATGTTGGACTGTGAAAAAAAATCTGTGGAGAGGCTTTTTTAGTATTTTATTTGACAGCCATTTCAAATGACCTTTTCTTTTCCAGAAGCAAAAGTATGTATATTTTTCTAACCATATCACTTTTGATACCCTCTTGAAACTACACACGTCATGAATATGTCTGTGTTTAAACTTTAGGGTAAAGTACTAATATTTTCAAAATTCATTATATGTGGTAACTAAATGATGCCCCTTTAAGGGCATACAAAGTTTGCAGAATTTATACAAGTGTTTTCAAAATTTGTGACAATTTAGAAAGTATTGATTAATTTTACATTTTCTATTTTTTTATATTATTTGCAGTCAGTCTCTTTAAAGTCAAGGATAAACAATCCTGAGCCAAATACAGATCCTCAGCTAACTTAAATAAAAAGTTATGATACCTGTAGATTATTTTTTGTCGTGCATGTCTGGTTAATGAGTTTTGTTAGGTCCTGATTTATCAGGAAATACCAGTGTACTTAAGTTTACATATATGTTTAAGCTTTTTTTTCCTGTCTTTTCTTGAACCTGGTGCCTGGTTAAGTGTCTTGGTGATCGGGGCAACAGTCACTTGTTGGAAGTTACCATAGGGGAAAGAAAAATCTTGTGTGTGTTTGTGAAGAAGAGCACCGTGAAAGTATGACTCATGAAATGGTTACATGCCTTGTCCTCAGGACAAGGTGAGGGACTTACTTTGAAGAATCAAACAAACCAGGATCATTTGGGCACAGGGCAGCACAGGATGTGGGCTTCCAGCTGAAATGATTGATGAGTTTGTCTTCAGTAGTGTCTGATAGCATGGGCTGGGCTCCCACTGCAGCTGGTCAGTGGCACGCAGCAGTGCTTTGCTCTGGTGAAAGAAAGTCGTGGGGCAGAATTTCAAGCTCTGTTCTGTAGTCCCTGGCTGTGGGGTTTTTCTCAGGGACGAGAGACAACTCATCTCTCGAGTTGTCTCGAGAGGCAGGGGCAAGGGGCAACAGCAGAATTCACGTAAGAAACAGTTCTTGAGCCAAATAAGAGTAAAAAGAGTGAAGTTGGCAGTGAGCAGGCAATGTCTGTAGGTAACATGGAATCTAACACCATCTAATGCTAGCCAAAGCTTGCAGCAGGCAGTCTGGAAGAGTCCTGGTTTTCATTTTCTACACCTATATGCTGCAAGGTGAAGCAGTATGCCAGGAAAGATGTGTCACAGGCATGGTTCAGAATCTGAGAGGAACACAATGCATACGTATTTGGTGCAACTTGTGAGTTGTCTATCTATCTGCAAACCTGAAGAGGTTAGTTCTGAGGGTTTGTACACTGCAAAGCTGAATGCTGTCCCGTACCCTTACCAGAGCACCCAGATAAGTGCTGTGGGCACAGAAGACACGTGCTGGGCATACGTGGTTATCCCCAGATTCCAGCACTGGTGCAGCTGCAGCTAACAGCAGAAGGAACAAGAGAAGGAGCTGTGTAGTGGTGAGATCATGATTGCTGACAAGGTGCAAGAGTGTGAGCAGTTGCTAGCGGTGGGGAGGAAGGAAGGATCCGTTGTTGCCTTCTCTGCTGGTCTGCTGGTCTGGAGGCTTGTTCATCGGTGGGGAGGTGGGTCACGCAGGCAAGTGTCACATTTCTTGCAGTTTACTTGAGA